TTGAAATCAAATCTGACAGTGTTAATCTGGGCCTCCTGGATTTGCTGTGTATATATTTAAAGTCTTTAAAAACTAATGTGTGAAATATTTACAGAGACATTATACAACAGCAATTATTTTTCTGTAGTAATAAAGATAAGGTACTGGAGTGTATAAATTTAAGTCATTTTAAAAATATTCTTTAAAATTTGTTAATTTTTACTTGTGTACTGTGATTGTAGATTTACACAAAACTTACAAACACGTGTATTTAAACACACGATGACTTCAAAGTACACAAATACATATGAAACATTTTACAGATTTTATTGTTATAATCATTGTTTTTTTTTATTAATTTTATGTATGATTCTGAACAGTTGCTAAATCATTTTGAAATTTTCCTTAAAATGTCTTTTACACATTTGCTTCAGAAGATGCTTCAGTTCTTAACTCATGCTGCAGTAAGATTGTAAAATGGTAATAATAATAATAATAATAATAATAATAATAAAAACAAGGGAACCACAGCCAAAAACATGCAAAAATAAACGAATAAAACGTCAGAAAAGAGAAAAGTATTATAATGAAAGAATAATGAGATATGACAATATAACAAAAAAAAGATACCTTGACCTTAATTCTTGGATTTTATCCCTTTTTTGAAAAGTACAACTTTTAGGTATTGTCCATCTTCCGTTGATTATTTTCCGTACTCTCATCAGAACTGGTCACTCTTGGGAGAAAGTTTTTTTTAACTTCAGCCACTGACCGTCACTTCTGCATCAGTCGAGCAGCGCCCACTGCTGAGAAAATATAGTATGGCGGTATTTAAACCCCACATTTCTGAGGATTTTCTCCACATAAAAAATATATAAGAAACTCTAATTAAAATCAGCTCTTTTCTTCTTCTTCTTTTGCCTCATTTTTAAGTCTTATAAAAGCACAAACAATTTACCCTGAACAATACTAATTCAGATATATTTAAAACCAAATAGATTCAACTGTTTAACATGCGTCTTGCAGGTCAGACACTTAAAACATTAGATTTTATTGATACTCTTGTAGTCTTACTGAATAAAATATGAAAAATAAATTTCTTTACATGTATTTCTTTTAAATTTGTCAGTCTATAAAATTAAAGCTTTTAAAGACTGATGAGTCCAGTTTCCTGTGAAGCACTAAACTGCCTTTAGAAGGCGCTCTAACTCAGGGTTTACCCCATGCAGGTGGAAAAACTATCAGTCCAACCTCAGTTTTAAATCGAAACTGATATTCTATTTAATTTAAGACAGCACTTCAAGTCAAATTGGTAAACATTCACA